GATGAGGTCAACCTGGAATAGGGTGGACCCTTAATCCAAATGACTGGTTTCCTTATAAAAAGGGGAAATTGGACTTAGACACAGGGAGAATGTCATGTGAAGATGGAGGCAGAAATCGAGGTGATGCTCCTACAAGTCAAGGAATGCCAAAGATTGTCAGCGACCCACCAGAAGCTGGGAGGGAAGCATGGGACAGATGCTCAGTCTTCAGAAGGAAGCAACCCTTCTGATGCTTTGGTCTTGGTTGTGTAGCCTCAGGAACTGTGAGACGGCACGTGTCTGTTGTTTAAGCCACGAGTTTGTGGTCCTTCGTGGGGGCAGCCCTAGCAAACTAACGCAACCCTTATCTCTGTGACTGGCCTGTTGATCTTTCCGAAGTTCCAGCCAAAGGTTGCCACATTCCCGGGCTTTTTTCTATGCTCGTTTTGGGCAGCCATTTCTGAATTTTAGTATCTTTTGGAATCTGGACAGGCTGAGAATTTCCCATATCATGAAGTCCTCGTTCCTTTTTGTTTAACAGTTCTTCCCTTAATTTCTATCTCTCTTCTTACATTTTACTGTAAGCGGCAAAAAGAAACCAGGCTTTCTTCGGCTAAATAACCTCGGCTAAATATCCAGGTTCACCGCTTCTAAGTTCTGTTTTCCACATAACAGCCAGACCCGATTCTGCTAAGCTTTCCACTGCTCCGTAATAAGAAGCGCCCTTCCTCCAGTTCCAGTAACATATTCCTCCCTTCCTCCTGAGCCCTCACCATCAGCATCTTAAGGTCCAGGTTTCTACTAACAGTCTGTTCATCAAGATTGAGGCTTTCTCTCAGGCAGCTGAGGATGTCTCTGTAATTTTCCTCACGTTCTTCTGACCGGCAGAGTCTTTAAGGTATATATTTCTACTAAAGGCCTCTTCAAGGCAATCTAGGCTTTTTCTATCATGCTCCTCAAAATTCTTCCAGCCTCCACCCGTGGCCCAATTCCAAAGCCATTGCCACAGCTTTAGGTATTTGTTATGGTACCCCCACTTCCAGGTACCTGCACCTGTTTTAGTTTTCCATTGCGGCATAACGAATGTCACAAATGTGGTGGCTTTAACAACACAAGGCCTGCTGACTTTGACACTTGCCTTCTGTTGGTGATTAAACACCCTCGGCCATTCATTATCTTTCCCTAACGCATCGAAGGCACTCACCAACCGTCTTTAGAGTCCACTGTGTTTAGAATTAGTGCTTCCCCTAACCTCTCAAAAGCCTGTGATGTTGCACCACCCCACTTCTATAGGTTCACCACTAGTGAGTTTGGACAATCGTACCACTTCAGCATGAGAGGGCTGTCAGTTCCACCTGCCACTAGTGATGGGGTCTTCGTTACCAGCTACCCAGCAAGGGGCCAACGTCCCATTTTGGAGTCTGCTTCCCCGAACCAATCCTGGCACCAACGTATTAGATCAGGTTCCCTGGGAACTGACTCGAGTATTGAGCATCAAGACCTGGAGAGTCTTCCAGGAAGTAGGATTAGGCAGAGGTCAAGCTGGGCACAGAGTTCAACTGTGAGGCCTTCACGACAAAGGCCTCAGCTTGTCTCACAGGGAGTTCAGGAGAGGGTGGCGCTTCACAATTGCCCGGCCTCGAGACAACAGGTCCGGATCTTTATACATCTGCACTAACAAGTCATTGGACGTGGGCTGCCCTGGGGAGGGGAGGAGGCGTGACTTTGGGGGAGGTAACTCTCTTCAGCTGAGAGCAATTCCTGGAGAGGGACTCAGCTGAGAGCTGTTGGCACAAACACTCTGGAGCGGCTGGGAGAATGAGCGCCTCACCCATGAAGAGGGGAGAATCTGGGAGGCTCACCACAGCATCCGCCACAATTATTGTTTTCTGGAACTCCCAATAGTGAATATTTGTATTTTGTATTAATTGTCTGCATAATAAATTACTCTCAAACTTAGCAACTTCAAAGAACAGCCATCGTCCCCCATTTTCTGTTGGCCATGCGTCTGAGCTGGGCGTAGAGGTTCAGGGTCTCTCATGAGGTTGTCATCAAGGTACTGGCTTGGGCCACAGACGCTTCAAGACTCTGCTGTGGCTAGAGAGCCACTTCCAAGCTCACTCACGTGGCTGCTGGCAGGCTTCTGTTCCTGGCCACGTCCTCCTTAGGCTGCCTCACTGTTTTCGTGACATGGCAGCTGGTGACTGTAGAGCGAAAGACCACGCCCAAGAGTCTTTTCTAAAACTAATCTTGGAAGTGACATCATATCACTTTTGTCATATTCTATTCCTTAGAGCATGTCACTGAATCCAGCCCAGTTAAAGGGGAGAGCATTACACAGGGGTGTGAACCCCAGGAGGCGGGGATCATCAGGATCATCGGAGCTGCCTGTCACAAATGCTACCTGCCAAACACTGGGCTAAGCATTCTCCCTGCATTGCTTTATTTAATCCTCACCACGACCTTAAGGGAGCTGCTATTAATATCCTCTTTTGCAGATGTGGAAACAGGCTCAGAGTGGTTAAATAACTTGCTCACAGCCACATTAATGACTGTGTAGGAGAGAAAAGATTGAGCCCAGGTTTGTCTGTGAAGGAGCCTGTGTGTTTGTAACACTTTGAGTGTACTGTCTCCCTCAGTAACATCCGGGGAACGATCAAAGTTGTTGCAGAATATTGAGGCCAAATAGGGTGCTACTACGCTTGAGGACAGGGACTGAGGGCGAGATGCACCAGTCACAGGGCTCTGAAAGCAGACCCTTCCTAACTCAGGAAGTTCAGGAATAAGCCTGGGAACACGGAGGAGCAGGCCAGAAGATGGGGTGGAGGGGAATTCTGAAATGGTTGCACTGTTGGTGAAATCAGCTGTGGACATGAGGAATCCCTCCATCCTGTCCAGTTCATAGTTTCTAAGTATAGATTAGAAATAGAGGTATCAGGCACCTAGAAACAAATGAGCTAAAACTGTTACTCGGTTATGGCCAAAAAGGTTAAGATTCTTGCCTAAGGGACTGTGCAAAGCTAGAAGCTCTCAGGAACCGTTAGACCTAAATCTGAGGCTGTTCCGGGTTATCTATCACAGTGTAACAAATCACCACAAATCTCAGTGGCTTCTAAGAATAATTTATTTCTAGTGATCCTCTGGGTTGGCTGGGCAGTTACTCTGCTGGTCTTACCTGGGCTCCTAAGCATGTATGTAGATGAGGGCCAGCTGAGCTGAAGGGTCTGGGATGTCCTCATCCGCGTCCGGAGGCTTGGCAGGGAGAACTGGGGCTTCTCTCTCCACGCAGTCTCTCACCGTTCGGTGGTCCAGCCCGAACTTCTTCACTTGGCAGTCATGTTCCGAGAACAAGGGCAGAGGCCGCGAGCATCTTGAGGCATAGGCTCCAGAACTTGCACATCATTTTTGCCACATTTTATTGGTCAAAGAAGTCACAAGACCAGCCCAGATTAAAGGAGATGAGAATGGCCACCCTTACTGGGAGCTTAACAGGAGGAGGGGTAAAGACACCCTATAAAAGGGTGTGAACACAACGAGGTGGGAACCGAGGGTCATTATTATTACCATTTACCATGGAGACCTTGGAAAGGGAGTTTGTGTTTAAACTGCAGGGAAGGAGTTCTCTGGGCTCGGTAGCGGCACTGGGTCACAGGCCCTTCGAGAAAGGGCTGCCGCGTGCCTGGGACTGGATCTGTCTCCACTGCAGGGCGCTGGAGTGAGCGATGGCCAGTCTGTGCAGGGAGCGTCCAAGTCTGGACCCAGTGAGCAGCAGAAACACGTAAGAATTAAGATGTTGGAAGATCCAGTTAAAACAACCAGATTCTGCCCGAAACTGAACTCAGGCTGCTGTTGGAATAAAATAATACATATATATAGTACTCTAGAACAGGATTCTTCCAATTGCAGGTAGGACTTATTAGTGGGTCTTAAAATTAATTCAGCAGTTCATGATCAATATTTAAAAAAACAGAATAGAAAAATATGTCGGATAGCCAAGGAATGGGAAAATACATTTCTGACTATGGGTCGCAGTAAAAGTTTGAAAGCCGCTGACCTAGTATATTTTGGGGTGAGGGGAATATCTACTTTATACCTAGGAAAAAAGTGTTAATATCAGTATCCAGTCAGTTACAAGACAATCGAAAATAAGAAAAGTAATTCTATGATCTAGGTAGTTTAGTGCCATTCTAAGAGGTTTTAAACAAATGGAACTTTGAACAATAAGATTTCCTTTCTATATACTTAACTCCCTCACTGGAATCCTTACAACAGGACAGGATGGAGCCTGAGCTGGAAAGGCTTGTGGCAGAAAACAGCTCATCTTCCAGTTGGCTGCAGTAATAGCTCTGAGGGCCAGCCTCCCACAGGATCTCACCAGCTGACGTTCTACCAGATAATTATTTGTTTAATGTCGAGTTTCCTCCACAGGAACACATGCCCCACGAGAGCAGGGATCCCGTCTTGTTCACTGCCGAACAAGGGGCTAGGGCAGCGCCCAGCACATACGAAGCCCTCAATAAACATCTGTGGACTAAACAAATGAGTGCCTGAACGGATGGGATGGGGGCAGGAAGAGGAACCTCACCCCAAGCGCCCTATTTCAGAATTACAGCTCCTCACTGAATGTACTTTGTAAGCTATTTCCATCTGTTATTACTTTTCTTCAGACGGGTTCAGACCCAGTCTTGACCCTCTTCTCAAACAGTGTTTTCGAGGATCTGCTCAGATTATTGCTCAGCTGGACGCAGCACTGTTACTGAAAGCAATCTGCACTGAGCCAGGCAGCACTGAATAAAGAGAATGAATCACTGATCTGGCCAGCAGCCTCGAAAACAGGTTATCCTTCAGAAACAGGTTTGCGGGCTGGGCAGCCTCTACCAGGACTAGAGACAACCGATAACAGCAGATCAGGATTGTGCATTTTACGAGAAAAAGGTAACACTGAGCATGGAGACCTCAAAACGTTGTCAACTGAGGATAAGGAAGAAACGAAGTGAAGAAAGACACACAACAGAGATGACTACGTTTTTTTTTTTTTTTTACTTCGAACATTAGCATTAAGGTGGTTACCGTACACATCCAAAGGCCCAGCATCTCGGAAATAGCATGAAGTGGCACACCTTGTACCAGAGTCTCACAAGAATAAAATAGACAATGCTACATCGAGTGGTTAAAAATACACAAAAAAGTAGTTTTAACAGTCTATAAATTTTTTATACTTAAAATCATGATTGAGTTGAAATAAAAAAGTGCATTTCAATTGCTAAAAAAATAATATTGGTATAGTTAACACAAGGGGGGAGATCAGTACACTGAGGGATCTGACAGGATGCTGGAGAAACGGTGACTCAGGGAAGCTAGGCTAGTTTGGGGATTGAGGAGGGGAGCTCGGTTCCGTCTCCCTGCGGTTCCCTGGGGCCACACAGCTCTCCTCTCCCCACCATCGTTCCCATCTTAGGAGATCCTGTCCTACCTACCTGCCACCTCCCTGACTGAAAGACTCCTCTAAACTCCTCTGCAGCGTGACAGGTACCTGTCCTACACACCAGTCCAACTTGCCCTTCCGTTGCGTCTTCGCAGAGGTAGGAGAGGGACACTGCCCCCTTCTGGACTTGACACAAGTACCCCAGCCACATGGCCTTAATCCTTACGACCTAGCAGGCAGAACAGGGACCAAGCAGCTTCTGTTTCGTCAAACTCCTTTGGACAAATGTTCAACATTCAACAACAAACTTTGTAAACCTAATCCTAAACAACTCCTGGCAAGCAAACGGGATTTTCTTTTCTTTAAGAAATGAGGAAAAGTGCAAGTGATTTCAGTACTGTCGGGGAAAACAAAAGTAAAAACAAACACGTTACACCTAGCCACCTGCTACCCAAACCAGTCACAGCTTCAGTTTCGCTTTTTGTCGAGTGTTAAAGTTACACGTGGATACCTCTCTCTACCTGTATAGCTCGGGGCCAGACGTGGCTAGGAAAAGGAGCCAGGCGGACATCCGTTCAGAAGGCCACTCCAGGCGCAAACGCCTCCTGGCCCCCCTGCGTCAGTAGGTGCAGTCTGCTATTGCCCCTTAGCTGATTACTGACCTGCCTATTGTGAAGACGACGCTGCAAGGAGCACCAACGAAGCTCAAGGTCAGAGAGCTGATGAAGGTTGGGAGCCCAGGACAAGTAACTGACAGAGAGGGAACACAAACTGAGTTCTAGCCTGGAGAGGTGGTGCTGCAGGGCTCCTCCTGTGGATCAGGACACAGGGTCTGGCCCAGTACTTGCTGGGCCAGACATCCATCTGGAGCAGAGAAGGTGAGAAGCGTTTCCTCATCCGTGCTCGACTTACCCAGGCAGCTCTTAAGCTTCTCAGAGATGTGAGGGCCCTGTGCTCATGGTGGGGTCTGGAAAAAGTAAGGATGGTCCCTTCCTGCTCTGCGTTTAGCACACAGTGGAGCCCCCATGGGAAGGTCCTGGCTTCCTCTCGGGGCACCGTTATTTTCAAAGGCTAGTGAAGACGCCTGACTCACCCAGCCCTCTGACCCACACATCATTCTTCATTTGCATCATCAAGACTGAGCAACTACTGGACTTAGTAATAAGGGAAAATGGCTTAAAAACCAAGATCTATAAATAAGCACTGAGCCAAGAGAGGATACTCTATAAGAGACTTAAAAGGGGGATCTTTAGAAGGTTGAGAATAAAGAAGCTAAAGTACTTTGTTGCTCCCTTGTGGACAAAGCCAGTACTGCTGATGGAATAGACACACAGCCTGGGTCAAGAAATGAATAAAATATATATTCTAACCTGTAGAAGATTGAGAATTCATCTGATTTTGAGAGGCTGCATATATATCCTTGAGGATGGAAGTTCAGAAGTAAACACCAAAATTATGCCACACACTTTTCTTACTTTTGAAAAAATCAAATGAGTTGAATAATCAAGCATAGAAAAGATATTTGTAGGAGGATTAGAGATTCTAAAAGAATAAAATATTTCCCACCAACTTTCCAATGCAATTAAACACAGCCTTGAGTCTTTTGCAGGATGTAAGTTGGCGTCTCTGTCCTTCTGATCACAAGGTCCCTTTTCACCTGTAAAAGACAGGCAGGGAGGAAGCTGTGTTCCTTCAGAGGAGCTGCATATTCAGAAACAACTTGATCCTTTGGCACATCCAGTACAGAGACAGGCTCTTTGGTTGATCAAGACCAACAATGCAAGTGTCAGATTTCCTTCTGAAGTTAAGCAAAATTCAGCTTCTACCCCTTCTTGTCCCATCCTCATTTTCTCCATGTCCCCAAAAACGTTCTCAAGTAACTTATCCCTGATCTCACCAGAGAAGCTCAAATAGTGTGAAAGGAGCCTGGAGCTAGAAAGTGGAGGAGACCTTGCTCGGGGGCAAGGGCCCTCTGATACTTGGGCCAAACGTCTCCTATCACCGAAGACATGAAACGAGCCAACGGTGGGCGTCGGGGGGCCCCTCTGCGCGTGAGCACATGCGGCTCTCCACTGTTGTGCTGCCTGCGACTCTGGAGAGAAAAGCCACGGTTTCAAAGTGGTTACGATTAGGAAGCCAGTTACTTCCTAAAAGAGGCCAACTTCTAGGTCAATAATGAGGACTATCAAGGCAAATTAAAGCAAAAAGTATTTAAAACAACAAGAAACTCTTGTTCCTTATTTCTATAGAAATCTACCATTTGCATTTTGTAAACTAGTCTTCCCGTTCCAGCCAGTGAGCCCTTCAAATGTCTTGAATTTACTCATTATCAAACATGGCCAGTTCTCACAATTTTGCCGTCTCACCAATAACATATTCTTGCCAGACCAACAGGATTATGAATTTATTAACAGCTGCCTTCTCAGACTCCCACTTCATGTGGTTATTAGCTAGTCTTGAAAACCTGAGTATTAGTAGTATTAACTTTAAGGAAAGAGGAACAACATTTTAAGTCAGAAAGGAAAGATTTTGACTAAGGCCAAAATACTCAACTTAATAGCTTTCATTCACTTTAAAAAAATGCAATCCAATTTCCTAATTTTAAAGAGTTCTGTCTGTCTTCAGTTTTGGAAGAGAACTGAAAGAGAGCAGGCAACCTGTGCGAGGCATACACTTCAGTTCTGACTGTGAAATATTAGCCAATTGCTAAAACAGTTTCATCAATAAGGTGCTCGTATCATATGGAGAACACACTGCAACCCCCTTTTTATTAAATCCTTCATATGTTATGTCTCAATCTTATTTTTAAATTAATTAGATGAGAACAAGTAGGAAAGAAAGTAGCTGGAAGTCTCTGAGGGACGGGAGCCTAGGGGGCAGATGAAAAGTCAGTAAGGACTTCTGATAAACCCAGAGAGAGATTTTAAATTAATTTGACTACAATAAAATTATGGGTACAACCTTGCAAAACGTTTCTGGACGAGAGAAGCAATATAGGAACAGGGGATGGCAACAGCAGCATTCAGGATCCTGAATCAGAAAGAGGGGGCCTTCGGGAAGACTAAGATGAGAAACACAGGCTCACAAGAGACACTCACTGACCTTTCATTTTAAAAGAACTTCTAGCTTCTGGTGAAAGACAAGAAGATGAAGAGTAAGATAAGGATACAATCTTTCATCACTAAAGATACAATATGTGAAGAAATAAGATATAAATAAAAGTTAAAAATGTAATCTAAAAATGACATGGGGGAACAAAACAGAAATATGTTCAAAATTCTCAGCCAAGGTTTTAGCTAGTTTGTAGAGCCAACCCAATCGGAAAAAGGGTGAATTCCAATACTCACGGAGAATGAAATAATCAGAGGTAGGATTTAGAGCAGGAAAAGAATGTTCCAGGATGCTGGCTTTTTGAAGGCACTCAAGAGTAGAGTGAGAGAGACTGAAGCTGTAGTGAGATACTAGAGGATTAGAGGGAAGTGTATACTCACTTGTCGGTCAAAGGAAATAAAAACAAGTCCAGGGACATTGTGACAACACATATATTACCTAGTAACACACCGAGGAACAAGGTAGAAATCCACTTTATAAGCAGTTTCTTACAACAATATAGCATCTACTTGGGGAACAAGAAAGAGAAGTTTGTTTTCCAGACACGCAACTCTGCAAAATAGCTTTGACTTAAATGAAGAATTTGATAAATGGTACATTATCTGGCTCTTCAAACAAATTTACTGAAGCTAAAGCTTCAAAGTTGGGACAACCAAGGAGTTTGATTTTCCTTTGAATCTTGCAAAACCTATCCTCTAAGACAAAAAGATCTGGTCACAAAGTCTATAAAAAGTCTGGAGTATAAAAGTATAGAACTATGAGAGTGGGTATATTGATGGCAACTTTTATGGCTTCCATAGAAAGTGTAGAGAGGATCTCTAGTTTGCTCTATCGAGGTAGTGTCCAGGGTTGGAAGGTCATCGTCATTTAGTACAAATGCTACAGGTGACAGAAGCAGGCTAGCTCGGGTGTCATTATTGCGTAATGCCACTATCTCTAACGGCTAATGACCTTTCATGCCTGAAAAAATGATCTTTTGGGAAATTTCCTGTCTTGGTTCAGGCAAAGGAAAATTAAAACCCAATATTTGTTTGCTCAATTTTATAGCCTGAAGAATTCCAAGTGAGTAGATTTTTGTAATGGTGGATAGGTGATAAAACTCTTAAATGTCACTTATCCCCTTTTTCATTAAATACTTCCCGTACAGTCTAAAACAGCATCGAAATGTTCATCACGTGGACCAGCAATGTAACAAAAGTTGTCTCTTCTATACAGTAGCTCAAACAGAAGGGTTTCTCTAACTTTAGTTTTCCTTTCCTTTTTTTTTTCTCAAACAATAAAACCCCACCTATCATTCTGTGTTTCACTAACTGAAATCTGCAAGATGGAGTAAATATATATACACCTACAACGGATTTCTATTTCTGCTTGATCTCCTCAAAATTTAAAACTTCCAGTGAAATCAAAAGTAAGCTAAACATACATATCCATTCAACAAACATAAAAACTGAAAAAAACTTTAAGAAGTAGAAAATTCAAAGTTTACAAGCATCTCTTCAAAGTATTTTGCCTTCAGTTAGTACACTAGGGACAATCAAATTATAGGGAGCACTCTAACCACAATGAAAAGGTACTTCCAACAAATGCAGTTTCTAGAAAGGTGGTACGACTATGGTAACGTCCATGCTCAGTCGTTAGTTTAGAACAGTTAATGTAAATGGTGGACTGTAAATGTATGTGTAACTGATTTGCAAGGGTTTCTTTGAACTACTGTAAAGTTTTATGTGGAGACCTCCTTGCTTGCTAAAAATAAGACTCAAATCACAAACATACGTGGAAATGAAGCCACATGCCTTTAAACTCTTCATCTTATTTTCTTCATTCAAATTTAAAAATCTCACTCAGTCGGAGCCTACCTGACTCAAATCTGAGAAAGCAGCAAGCAGCCTTTCATTAAGGATAAGGAAGAGTTTCTATTTGAATGATAAGACTACGAGAAAAGAACAGAAAAATGCAATACAAAAAAAAGCAATGTCAACTCAAGAAAGTCCTTGGGAATTTTCCTTAAGTAGGTCTTAACCCTAGTAATGATACAAGCCTTTCACCACAGTAAAATTAAGGAATGCGAAACAGCCTCAATCTGACATGTATATAATGCTGAAATGTGGCCTTTGTTGTCTTTAAAAGACTTGTTTGAGTACAGATAAGGGCTGAGAAACTGAAAACTCCTCCAGAGTTCTTTTTTCATAAGCAGAGAGCAAGTAGGTAATAAGTTCTGACGACGTCACGGGGTGCTGTACTGTATGTGGGAGGGAACACACCACATAATGCAACTTTCATTTTGGCAAAGGACCCCAATCACATTTTCAACCCTGAGTTTGAGTCTTAAGCATGTTAAACCTGATGCACATGAATGTTTAAGGCTTAATCCTGCAGTTCTCATATTCAGAAGTGTTAATGTCACGGATATTCTTAACTCATTTCATTATTCATATGTGATATGAACTGATGAGGAGTCATGTTCTGAGCAGTCTTCCTGGAGACCACAGATCCCAAGACAGGGAAGGTATACTTATCTAGGAAAAAAAAATTGCAAGGTTCCAGATTATTCCACAAGAACATTTCATTAAGAACTGTATTGTATGACAACGCTGATTTAAAAAAAGATAATAATTCTTTTTTGCTTCTGTTAAGGGTGGTGGTGATTATTTGCTTAATACTGGTTTTCCTATGTAGCAGATATTCTCTTATGGCTATATTCACTTGAATGAAAAATCAAAGATGACTACCTGAATTTTCCAGTGTATAATTATAGTACACCTCATAAATGGTTGATTCAATGGTCTCAAGTCTAGAATTCAGAATTTCTGCCTGATATTGTAATTTAATTAGGACAAGATAAGGTATAACCAATTAACTAAGCTGCAATTTACATCTTTAAAAAAATCATTTTAATAGTACAGGCTTGGCCATGAAATAATAATATGCCTACATAAAGGTGTAGATCCACAAACTTGTCATGGAATGCACAGGAGACTGGGAGTAAGGGGGAGCAGCCACTAAAGATATAACAGTCATAAACAAGGAATTAACTTTCCTTATTGGTTTGGGTACCGGGGTGTTCAAAGAATGTATATATATATATATATATATATATATATTTAAAATGACATTCTTTAGAAATTACATCCAAAAACAGGAAGAAAAGTATATGTCTTGAGATACTTTTCTGCCTCATTCCAAAATTTTCCTATGCTCATTATAAAAGACAAAGGCAATAATCAAAGGAAAAAATTTGGAAATATTAAAGCAAAAAGCTAGCAGAGAATGCGATATTTTTAAAATAGGGACTAAACCTCAATTGAAAGAGTTCCATTTTTTCCTACCACAGAGCTCATCAGCTGGAAAAGTGCTTGAAGTATATCTGCACATTTAATATAAAAAATAAAAAATAAATAAAAGCCAGGGTTCTGATTCAGGCAATGATTTAAGAGCCTGAGGAGAGAAAACTAAAGAAACTTCAAGATTAAAAAAATAGAGAGGGAGGGAGGGAGAGAGAAAGTAGGCGAGCTTTGGAACTCAGTTCTCTCAGATGAAAAAATACAAAATTTTTAGCTATGCTGAGTCTGGATAAATTTGATCAGTTAAACATAACCCATCTCTTCAGCCCTTCTCTTCAGCCTTTCTATAATAAGCTCCTGATTTATCGTGCTCTTTAGAAGTTCCCCAAACTTGAAAAAATGACGTGCCTAAGGGTTCTGGGGATGCTGCTCTCACCACCCAGCAATGCTGCTGTCATGCAACTATCTGCAGGGGACGGGGCAGCAAAATGCAGGAGCTCGCCTTCCCTCCCGACAGCAAACAGCGCAGAGTGGTGGACACATCCACTGATCTCAGAGACATTTTAAAACTCATAACCAATTTGCATTCTCATCCAAATTTCTCAGCCACCATCCACAACATCATGTTTGTGATTTTAGTGTGCTATTTTTTTTATAACAATTCTAGAAAAATAAAGCAATCTCAAAAAGAGCAGTGTATTATGAGACTTCGATGTGTCATCCCATGAAGATTGAACACGAACACAGTTCTGAGGGAAGTGAGAGTCAGATGTGACGGAGATGAAACAATCTCCATCACTTCCTCCTCTTGACAGCGACTGGCTTTCCCCAGATTTTCAAAACATGCAAGCTTTAGGTGACTGCCCTGGAAAAGGCCCAACCCTCTGCAAATGATTCCACTGAATGGACCAACTGAACCAATGAAACATGGAGGACAGAAGCATGTCAGTGAGCCTAACAGACACTTGAGTGTTAAGTAGAGATTAAAAAACTACCAAGGACTTATGCCAAGTTCTGAAAGCAAAACCTCATTTTTGCAGTAACCTGGTCTGGAGACCCTCCCAGATACATCTAGTCTCTGAAGCACCTTTGAGTTGTACGGATGTAAGAATAACTTTGAACTACAGAAGTTATATGCATCTTTAAGAATCACATTTTGATGATTATAAAAATTTTTTCTATTTTACAACATAGGTCCAGCTACACTGAAAAAATTACACCGCTTATTGAAATACATTTCATTTTAGAAACAGACTACTAAAGAAGTCTATACAAAAACTCTAAAATAATTTCTGTAGTAAAATAAAGAGTGCGTTAGGAGAGCTACACAAAGAAGAAAATTTCTGTCTTTCTCTATAATGCTTGATATACTGTGAAATGTGGCTAGCTCAACTCTGAAGCCAGCACCAAAAGCTGAAAAGAATTCATTACGATACACAGTGATACAATTAATGCTCTGGATTAATCTCACAGCCTTCCCGATTAGTACAAAGGAAACCGGGCCTGTCCCCTCTTTGAGGAGAAGTCCAGGATATAAAAGCAAGCATACCTCATCAGCTGATATGAAATTATAAAATTCCACAAGTCTGAGTATCTGAAATTTATAAAAGTCACCAGAAAATGCAAGCACATTGGGCTTTAGTTCGGTGGTTCCCCTGGTTTGGACGGCAGCCCCTCTGTGAGCTCAAGGTGGTCTTCTTGTTCATTCCCTTGGATGCGTTGATTCCCCAAGACAATGACAAAGCTGTTGGTGGAGGCCGAGAAGAGTCCGACAGCTGCAGAAAGGCTCACCAACTCCCTCTCTGCAAGCTCACATATGGGCACACGACACGTGGAGAACACACTGAAGGAGACGGATGTTAATGATGCTGTGCTGAACTGTTCTTCTCTGCCAGGTGCCGAAGAAAGTTGTCCTCACCCTGGCCTCTGTGATTTAAAGGCTCGCTCTTAAAGAGCGCTGGAGGTGGGGGGAGGTGTGGGACCGGAGGGATAGGAAGGTGGTGCGGGTGGTGAGGGTGTGGGTGGATGTGGAGGTGAGAGAAGGAGTGGGGGATGGGCCGAGGGGGAAGAGTGCTTATAGGATTCATATTGATTGGAGGAGTTGGGGTTGTGGGTGTGTTCACCACAGAAGGAACTGGGGTGGCTGGGGAAGTTGTAAGTGGGATCTGGACAGCAGGCGGCACATTCACGGGGCTGGTCACCCGAAAGCACTTCTCCTTGTGGGCCTTAAGCATGTTGGAGAAGCGGAACCGCTGGCCACACACATCGCATGGATAGGGCTTCTCGCCTGTGTGAGTTCTGCGGTGCCTCTTCATGTTGGGGCGGCTGGTGAAGCTTTTGCCACAGATTTCACAGATAAAGGGTTTCTCTCCTGAGATGAACACAGACACAAAAAAATGATTAACATACTGGGCGGTAATTATGTGCTCATGTTACTCTCCGTATTAAAAACGGAGATTACCACTCCTTTCCCTTATGATATCTTATACTCTAAGAGTCATAAAAGTATCTCCCAAAGCTGGGACTTAAATAAGAGCGGACACAAGTCAAACTTACATACAACCTACCATTTGGGCTTGGTTAAAAAAAAAGGAAGGCCCCTTCAGGAATGATCCTTCCTGTCCTACATGAAGAACTGTTCCAATGGCTTTCCTGTGCTCAAGGGAACTAAAACCACAGATGAATCTCTGCCTCTACATTTAGGCAAAGTTAATCTGTAAGCAATTTCTGACATTTCAACCAAAAGTAAGACTTTGCTGAAAATGTCCTGTGGAACAAATAAGTCTCTTCATGTCCACTCACACATAATCCTTAGCATGTGGCTCGCTCTTTGGTACTAGACTTGGAAAATACTGGGCTGACTCACCCCACAACACAAATTTCACACTGCAGTGTTTCTCCACGGGAGTGCTGCTGGCATTTCTGCAGACAATTCTTCATTATGTGGGACTATTTGGCACATTTGAAGAGCACTCAGCACTCCTGGTGCCAGCCTACTAAATGTCCCCGAAAGACTCTGACAACCAAAAACGTCCCCACACCATTTCCAAATGTCCATGCGTGTGGGGAGGGTTGGGGGAGGGCTACTCTTCTGGGTTGAGAACCACTGGGCCAATGAGTCAAAAAGGAGACAGAAATCCCACAGTTCTAAGGGTAACTTAGGGAGGAAACTAGCTTTGGGTTCTAAAGGTTCGATTTTTTTTTGAGGTAACACTGGTTTATAACACTATATTAATTTCAGGTGTACATCACTATATTTCGACCTCTGTATACACTATATCATATTCACCACCAGAAGTCTAGTTTCCATCTGCCACCAGACAAAGGTCTCCCCATTTATGCCTTCTGCCCTCCTCCCACCTCCCTTTAAGGGCTTAATCTTTCAGCCTCCTAACTTTCCTTCAGACTTATCACTTAGTTCCATGCTATGTCTGTCTGGTTCTATACCCAGGCTATAGGGGGGAAACAAAATGATTTTTGAACGTACTTGTCCATTAATCACTTCACATGGACTGCTGTGGTGAGGTGTGGAGTACCACGCACGTGTGCCTCAGTGGCCACACGCTTGTACTTATCCACCCCTTCCTCCGTTCTCAGCGTGCAGAGCTTGTGTCTTTACTGTGGCTCCTGCTACAAGAGACTTTGCTCTCACTTCACTTACTGCCCCCCGTCTGTCTAACAGATGTCCTTATTCTACTCTGGATAACAGACCTACTGTGTACTGAGTCTCACTGTGCGCTCGGCACTGTTCTAATCACTTACATCTAGGAACCTTCGGTGATCCTCACGGCGACAAGCCACAGACCACAGACAGCATAAGGCAGGTATGTTATTATCCCTATTTTACTGATAAAGAAATTAAGAAACTTGCCCAAGGTTCTACAGGGCGTGGAGAGCCAGGATTGAACACTCTGCAGTCTGGCTCCAGAGTCTGCACTTTGACATGGAAACCATAGCACTTCCCGCCTCAATGCCCTGTACATTCCTGCATACACAAAGGGATGTTATTTCCTTACTGTTTTCCTCCACTTTGGGACCCGTTCTTATACTAGCAGCAAACACCTGTTTACCTGTACCTAGTCGTTATTTCCTCTCTCTGCCTTTGCAAACCGACATCTCTTGTTGCCCTCCTTCCATGGAAGCCAGAATTTCCCACGCTTCCCTGAGAGACTGGATTAACAGTCAGGAGGGATCCGTTTTCTCCAAAATCACCAGGACTATTTTCTATCATATTTCTGTTCTCTCTCTGCTTTTCATTATTCAGTAACTGCCGCTGCGAGGATCTTCGCTGTGATTCATACTCATCCTTCTAGATAAGTTCTGTGCCCAGCTGTTTTCCTTCCTTTTAATCAGTTTCCTCCAATTACCTTAAAAACTTCAAACTACGTTAAATGGAGTTGACTAAATCAATTATGGCATACCTATCTAACGGAAAGTGCCATTAAAAATTTATAATATTTTTACACTTTTATAAGATTATTATACTTTTATAATAAGTATAGAAATGTAACAACATGAAAATCTATAATCTATTAAGATTACAGTCTATTAAGTAAACAAGCAAGCTATGGAAATGTACGCAGGGAATTATCCACTTTTAATGAAAAATATAGAGAGAAAAAATATGGAAAGAAATATAACAAATGTTACCAGTGATTATCTCTAGGTAACGGTATTATGAGAGATGTTTTACTTTATTGTTTATGCTTATATGTACTTTCTGTTTTTCTAAAATAAACATGACTTACAGTACAATGAAACGTTTTCAAAGCACACCTGCTTGACAACCTATCCACTCCCTGGACCCCTCCCACTTTGACTTTCCAGAATTAGTATTCTTCACTCCCAACAGCCCTAGGAGACAGCGCCAAAGAACCTAATCTTTGAATTATTAGTCTAACGTGAGCCAACACTCTACAGCTGATTCACTAGTCACTTCTTAGGTGCACTAGACGCTTTATCTGCAAACGGCATGTGTTCATTGAAAGTTTACTGAGTGTATGGACATTTAACTTTCTGTTATGTGCTCAGATCTCTCTAATCATCTCTCATTTGTAGCCTTCTAGGCTATAATGATTTGCCATAAAAGGACCAAAAACTCTAACTGGCCTACCAAAAACCTATGGATTCAAATTAAAATGGATCCTTGTCACTGCTTAATAATCTTTTACTCATTTCTTGATGTCTTACTAAATTTTCCACATTTGTTCTGCCAGATGTAAAACCACAATCTCACCTACCTCTAACTCTCATTATTCATTAGGTCCCATCTCCTAATTGTGCTAATAATTAATGTTAAAATTTCCCTGAAACTTCAAGGTAAGATTACAATGAGGCTATAATAAGGAAAAATCAAAATGTAACATTTGAAATCAACCACCTGTACAGTGGCCCACTTTAAGGAAGAGCAGATAAATGGGTGGCTGAGAGATATACTAACAGCTAACTCCACCAAGCTAACTAGAAAAGGGCGTCTATCGATACATTTGAAGATATGACCTGCTACATATAGATAAGGCTAACCTGATTGTAAGAAACTGTATTGTAATGAGCCTGAAGAAAGACCGTTATAAATGAAGACAGAGAATCTGCAGGGAAGATAGAAAAGAGCGAGGATTTGGCTAGTTAGTTGTCTTTTGCACTGTTCAAGGGAAAAAGCAATCTGGCCAATGAACACAAGCATTCCAGTCTGCTCAGGACGAATCTCCCTGAGCAGCATCAGAAGTCCATATATCTATATATCCAGCCTAAATCTCTCAAACCAACTACTGGATATTTCCACTTGAATGTCCCATAGATATCTCAAAACTAACAAGTGCAAAATTAAATTCATTATCCTTCCTGGCAAACCTGCTACTCCCTCCACTATTCTCTATCTTGATAAATGGTATACAAGCCCCAAATCTGGGACTAACCCTTGATTCTTCCCTCCCACACCACTGATATCCAATCCATCACCAAGTTCATTGACTCTACCTTGTCTATCACTGTAATTCATCCACTGCCGTTATCATAGTCCATATCATCACAATCATTCACCTGGATTACTGCAATATCCACCTGACTAGTTTCACCATCTCTATTCTTGCTCCCCACCCTCCAATCCACACTGTAGCCAGAGTGAACTTTCAGATAGTTGTGTTGCACTGTGCTTAAAACCTTTCAAGAACTTCCCACTGTCCTTAGAATAAAATCCAAACGTTTTTACGTGGCTTCTGTTTTTTGTGTGTGATGTGGTACCAGCTTTCTGCTCTCCAGTATCTCGCCTTATCACACCCCTGCCCACCCCAGCCCCCAATCCATCAAACTCTGGCCAACTTCATTTAGTTCCACATGCTTACTACGCTCACATCCCCAAACCACTGCTATGCCTTGCTTGTCTATCACCCCAACCTGACTATAAACTGTGTGAACCTAGGGACCATTTCAGTCTTGTTAACTACAGTGGCTCCATTTAGTAGATTACTAATTAATATTCAAAAATTAATATTTGTTAATTCTAAGACATGCATTTCCCCCTACATATTAACATCTCTGAAACTGACAAATACCTTACTATGAATGGCACATCATTGTTTAATTTGCAGTATTTCCTTAGACGTATATAAATTAAGTTTGTCTTACAACTGCTGGCTTCTTGGATTCAGTGAAGTATGGTATTCATTAAGGTCATTCAGTTACTTCCTTTGCTATAATTCCCTGTCCCTGACAATTTTCTGATTATAATTTAGCTTCTAATACAGATTTTTCTTTAGGCAAAGAATATGCTGACCGAAGAACATATGCGTTCAGAACCACTTGCCACTCAGCCTTTTCACTGTAAATTGATAAATTAGCAATTTTATTTCTGTATCATTAAGACTATTTAGCACAAATCAATCTCTCTGATCCTGATCTGCTTGCGTACAATGACAAATTCTGGAAGCTGAGAGCGACATTCTGGGATGCTGCTTTTTGCCCTCATGATGTCCTGTGCATCCCTCCATTTTATTACTTGCTACATTAAATTTACATCAGAATCATTAAGTCTGTGGTTCTGGAGTCAAACTGCCTTGGACAAGTTACTTAACCTCTGAGCTTCAGTTTCCTCATCTGAAAAATGAAGATAATAACAGGTTATTGTGATAAGTTGAAAAGACAAAGAAAGTGCTTAGAACAGTATCTGGCACATAGCAGACACTCAATGCATTTTAGTGCTATTATTATTATTATTATTATTAACGACCATCACTATCATTGGACTTTAACCTCCTTGAGGGCAAAACCCTTAGCCTGGTACACTAGCACTGTGCCTGGTACAAGGAGAATCAGCCATTATTCTGTGTTGAACTCACCCCATGTCCACACCATCCTAGGAAACCCTGCCTGAGGGCTGGTCAGCTTCCCTAGATAAGATCTGCCTCACTTCTCTTTAACTGCAAAGAAACAGCCCAATGAATCTCAGTTTCTGCAATGGCCTTAATCCCCACCAAAACACACTCTAAATGTGGTTTCATCCAGTCTGCAAAGAGCTATCCCTTTTCTTCTTTAAAGCTAACCCTTCTCCTTGTATCTTCTCAGGTACTGCTGTCATCCTTATTTAATACCGAGAAACCAAGCAGAGGCCTAGAGAAGTTGCATAATTCACTTAAGGTCACACTGCTAGTGGGTGGTAGAGCCAGGTCTGTCCAGCTCCATCATCCAGCTGATTTCCCAATTTGAGTATTATAAACAATATTAAAAGGCAGGTGACAAATCAGGGGAAAGTATTTTAATATCAGTGTTAAACAAGGTGAGTATACATAAATATATATAAAGAGCTATTATAAACAATAAGAAACAGTCAAACACTGAAATGGAGAAAGATGAAAACAGAAAAGGCACAAGCAATTTGGAAAAGAAAATATATTGACACCCAACAAGCATATAAAAAAAAGTTCAAACTTATTTAGCAATTAATTAAGTGCAAATTAACACAGTAAGAAACCATTTTTCACCTACCAAATCAGCGAGGACTTTAATATTTAGGCCTGGAAGGGGTTGGGGAAATGGGTATTGTCCTGCGCAGCTGGTAAGAGTGTCTGTGGACAGCAGTTTTGTGACACACACCAGCACGTCTTAAAAATGCGCACATTCCTTTGCCCTAATAATCCCATTTCCAGGGATTTATCTTAGGTAAATAACCATGGATGTGTTGGCCACAAAGTTGTTTATGACAATATTATTTATAACAGTAGAAAAACTGGAAACAGAAATAATCTCAGTGTCCAACAGGGCACTGATGTACAGGTAACATTGATGAAATGAGATAATGTATGTGAAACACCTGACAGTGCCGGGCACACGTGTGCACAATAAGTGATGGCTTTTATCACAGCAAATTTATAAGAAGGAATATTATACAACCATTAAAGTGATATTGCTGTTAATGATATAATACAGTAAAATACAAAGGTTACAATAGAGTATAAAGACCCAATTTTTGTTTTAATACTATATACATGAGCTCATAAATACTCATGCATAGTATCTACCTATATGTGTATTAAGAAACTAAAGTTTTTAAAGAAATGTATGCCAAACTGTTAATAGTGATCTCTCAGTGATAAGATTATGGACCATTTTTATTTTGTTTTCAATTTTCTAATATACTTTTTAAGTATGTACTAGTCTTTTAACGAGAAGGATAAAAATTTAAGTGAATTTAGGTGGCAGTATTCCTTTAGAAGATCTAGGAAATGTTCAGCTTGCCTAATTGGTAAAATGAAGAAGACTTATTTTATTCAGCAAATACGTTAATCATGAAATATACACTTTAGTTTTATATTACGGACATTTAAGGGTCTGAAGAAAGAAAGACAAGAAGGAAGGAAGAGAAAGGGAAGGAGAAGGAGAGAGGAAGGAGCAGGGAGAAAGATGCGCAGGAGGACACAGAGAAGAGAAGGTGAGGGCAGAGGCTTCAGTGGCTGGCGGTTCCTTCCAATCGTGTGACAAGCATTTGCTGGCACCACTGCGTGCCAAGCGCATGTGTAAATGTGATACAGCTGCCTTCAAAACACTTATTTTCTGTACTTCCATAGTCTCCTGCTGAATAACAAAAAACTGAATCCAAAAAGGGACTCAGCTAGAACTAAGAGCCTATCCAAGAGGAGACTTTGTCAAATACTCTGCCACATCCTGCTATGTGTTCACTTAAGCCTCAAAGTTATCATTACCTTTTAAGGTGTAATTTACCTAATGAAACTTCTCTCATGACTCTTCATTCAGCCTAATCCTTAAAATCTGACCGGGAAAGCAGCCCACCACAAAGGCATTTTTCTTTGGACTTCAACAGAGAAATGGAACTAAAGAGATCCAGCCATGGACAGAATTTCCTCACCATTAGTCAAGCAAAAAGAACAGCGGGCTAAGCGAGATAATCTCCCGTGGTTCTTTCTAGCTCTGCTACTCTGTAGACTAAAAGAACCAAGAATCCTATGATTAGATTTTATTTAGAAACCTGAAAAATGTTTCATACTGTTCAATGTGTGCAAAGACAGCTAATCCCAGGACAATGCGACGGAGCTGAATGATACGGTGTTTCCAGGGGGAGCTACTATTTTTAGCCAGCTCCCTGGAAGCAGGATAGTCAAATGCCTACAAGATTCAAATCCATGCAAGGAAGCACACACCCCTGAAAACACAAAGTGGTTCAAATATTATTTAACCTCATTTGATGGATGTGTTCCTGAAAAGTAGTGAATTTTGGCAAACCGAGTCCAATCAAGTTTTCAGAACATTGGAGAGGTATTCTACTTGAAGCAGTCAGTGTCTTCCATTTTTTTAAAGGTCCAGAATCCCTTCCTTAGAAAAATAACATATGCACATACACAAAACAATTTTTATATAATTTCAGGAGATCTTGTGCCCCAAGTAAAAAGTCCATTGTCTTAAAGGAACCTGCAGTCAAAAGGCACTAACAAATAATCCTTTTAAAAATAAACAGGGGCTGGCCCCGTGGCCGAGTGGTTAAGTTCGCGCGCTCCGCTGCAGGCGGCCCAGTGTTTCGTTGGTTCGAATCCTGGGCGCGGACATGGCACTGCTCATCAGACCACGCTGAGGCAGCGTCCCACATGCCACAACTAGAAGGACCCACAACAAAGAATATACAACTATGTACCGGGGGGCTTTGGGGAGAAAAAGGGGAAAAAATAAAATCTTAAAAAAATAAAAAAATAAAAAAAATAAACAGAGTTACGAAAGCCTAATTCTTCAGTATTATAAATATGTGCTTTTATACATCAGGTTTACTTAAAGTGTAATTTGCACTTAGAATGCAAATTTGTGGTTCCGATTTTTACACAAACAGACTCGCAGGTGATCATCGACGAGTGCTTGAGACCCATCCGTACCTTCCCCAGGGAAGTCTTACCAGTGTGTGTTTTCATGTGTTCGTCGAAGTACTGCTTCATGTTGAAATCCTTGCCGCACCACTGGCACATGAACTGCTTGTGCCCAATGTGGATGCTCATGTGGGAGCGCAGCTGGTACTTGTACTGGAACCTTTCGTCGCAGTTCTGCAGTGGACACGGCAGAGACGTGTGAACACCGAGCGAGCAGCTTTACTTGAGCCCGCCCTCCATAGTCTCTGGGCTAGGGTTATTTTCCAAACTCAAAATAGAAGCTGTTGGTGCCAACTATTTGGCTCTGCTATACTTCTGCAGTTGAGTTGTTAAAAAAAGGGAAGTTTCCCCATACAGTTATCACTGAAGTATACCCAACTTATCTGAATTACTGAGAAAAGCAAAATAACTCATCCTGTGTTATTTCCAAGTTTAACCTAATCTAAGAAAGTTAACAGTGTGTTAACAATGACATTTCTCCACCCAGCAGGGCGGTAACACACCACTCAGAGCACACGCCTGACGGTTCTGGGGACGGGCAGCTGCGCCTTGGACCGCAGCACACCTCCCTCACTGCTTCCCCAAGGACACGAGAGCTGGCCCCGAGGCCTGAGCCCACTGGCAGCACAGTCCTTACCTCGCATCTGAAGGGCTTCTCTCCGGAATGCTGCAAGGAGTGCACCTTGAGTGACATACTGCGTTTGAACGATTTTCCACAGGTCTCACATGTAAATGGCATGTCTTTCGTGTGTGCTGCAACAGAGAACACACTTACACTCTAAGTCCGCCAAAGAGCTCAAACTGAAAGAGACAGGTGTCCTACAGTAGGGTAATTATGCCATCTTAATTTCCTACACTCTAATTTGTAGGCTTTAATAGAAATGTTCTGAAGAGAAAAATAAATAACAACGTAGAAAAGAATCCTGGGTGTGGAAGGCCACACCATCCAGTCTGGCGCTGCTCACTGAAGACATGCGGCATTTAGTTTCGACGAGTCAAAACCGACGGAAGTCAGGCAGTTCCTCACCTCCTGCCCAATCCAGAGCATCAAACACACCCAAGAACAAGGGGGATTACAGGTGTGAGAGGAAAGCAGCGGCAAACACTTACCAACCATGTGTTTCCGCACATGAGCCATGGTATAGAACTTCTTCTCACAAATTTCACAGGAAAACTTCTTTTCTGCATATCCGTGGACGATCTTGATGTGTTCATGAAGGGACCAGAGTTTCTTGAATGATTTGTTACAGGAAACACACTGAGCAGGATAAATAGAAACACTCTTTGTTTATAGGCGCTTGCAGAAAGCCATACCTGCCTGCTGGCAGATGAGACGGACGTGCTTTAGATTCGTGGCACAAGGCCAGAACCCGAACAAACGCTATTCCTCCATGGAGTCCTGATTCCAACACCAGCGTCTGTGTGTGCTATTTTCCAAGGGGTGTATTTTAGAGGCACTTTGGGAGTATGAAAACAATGGCAAAAAGTAAGACAAAAAGAACTGAAAAGTTCCACTAGTATCAAAGAACTGTCCGCTCTTATCAAGGTAGTATTCTATCTATGAAAAGAATCTTCCGGCTTTTTTTAATATACAGATAACCAAGAGTGGCTGCCTCCCACACATGAGTCACAACGCAATCAGCAGATGTTTACCAGAGAATACAAACTAATGTTAAATTGGCATAAATAAAAACAAGATAAAACAAGGGACTTATTAAATGGTTATAAATCTGTAGAAGTACAACAACGTTTCTGTACCTTAGAGAATGCATTTGGAACCTTCACCAACACACACTACTGAGGTTTTATTACATTTTCCCGAATCTCCTTCCCCCGGCAGAATTTAATATAACCCCTACACTGTTCACTTCCTTCTCCCTTTTCCCTTACAGCCCAGCGCCAGGTCTCCCCCACAAGCATCTATAGGAAACACACGCAACACTGCTCGTTCCTCGTATTACGACTCGTTAACAGTCTAGAATATCAGGCATAAAGTATATCAAAACAAAATACTTCTGATTAAAGTAAAACAGTACTAGAAAGTTCTAGGTAATCAGCAGACTCTGGGATACTTAAGGGAACAAGTTGGTATTCACCATAAATAAAGATCACTGAACATCACTGTCACTTCAGGAAACGGACTCAGAGAAGAGTTAAAAAGACAGACCTCTGGTTGGATGTTGCTCAAGGAAAGGGAAGACTACTCCCATAAGCCATTTTTTTAGGGAAGGATTTTAATTTTTACTTGCTCCTAGGTCACCAGGATTATTAGGATCTATACAGAAGAACAAAGCAGTGTTCTTTAGGAATGTAGAGAGAGATCATTTAGCAGAATCCACAAAACCTAAACACAAGTTTAAACACATTTTGGTGAGGAAAGTCACAAAAAAAGGATTTATTAAATGTTTTCTTTCCTGTGACTTAAAAAAAAAAAAACTGTATAACTATAGAAACCGAATAACCATAGAAAGATCAAGATCCACCTTTTCAGCAGACTCATTAGAGCACCCAGGTTCCACCCCTAGGGGGCAGCACCACATCACACCCCCTTTGGCCTGACCTGTTGCAACCAATTCACAACCCAGCAGAGCACTGGCAGTGACTGGAGGGGATGGCGCCACGACTCAGTCGTCTTTCATTTACCCAGTGTGTGCCAGATCAAGTCACAACTGACAAATCAAAAAGCAGTGAAGTTTTAGCCAATGCAATTTATATATTTTTAAAAGTCACTTTAAAGTAAAGCAACGATCTCAGTTGTTGATTAAAAGCAAGAGGAAAAGCGACAAATAAGGAGCACTCCAAATTAGGAGCACGCCAAGAAACAAAGCAAATCAAAACAGTTCCATCTTTTAAAAGAAGTATAGCTCAAATATGGTACAAAATATTTCTATCGTACACATTTTATAGAGATATTAATAGACTTACCTTTTATGAATACTCATTAATATGCATTCACATGTGCAAGCAAATGCAGCTCAACATAACTCACTCAATATAATATAATTAGCACACCTCTTAACCTATCACAACATAGTCCTTCCAAGACACCGGCCTGATTTGAATATCATGTTCTGTTACCTTAACAATATGGTACAGAGCATTATGGAACCCTCCTGCCAGGTGGGCAACATTTTCAACCAGCTCAGCCTCTGTTTAAAGTTTGCATATTCCCATGGGCTCAGCCTCTTGACAAATTTAGTGTTGTCATCTCTCCACTGGTAAAAGCAAACTCACTCCTGGAGATCTTCCATTTCCTCCGGTCTGAGTCATTACGGTTTTTGTCCCCATCAGCTGCACTAGAATCTGGCATCCTTTTAAACCTAGAAAGGGACCTCTCTCTACTCCTGACCTTTGCTCACTATCTCCCGCTTTGCCAGAGAAGATGCCAGAATGAATTATATTACATGTCCTACAACAGTGAATCTCAGTGCAAAGTCGGTGTTGACTTTACCTCCTGGGCAATCACCTATAACAGATCCCCCTTCTAACGTGCCTGGGTTCCCGCTAGTCCAGCGTCAGTTAAATTTAATGCTTTGAAATAGAATGTTAAGCCTGGGTTTTGAAAAGACCAAAGGAGGAGCTCTTAGAGAGATAAATTGGTGAAATCTGTCCCTTCAGCCTCTATCGTATTTATTTTCTTGGGCAGATACCAGGTGAGTCGGAACAGCCAGGTTCTATCCTGGGAAGTTTGCCCTCTTGGTGATGAAACCTACCTGAATATTTTTTTCACAGTCTGTTTGCTGGTGAAGGGACAGCTCACTTTCCAGGACAAACTTCTTGCCACACTTATCACAAATCTGCATGCGCCTATGAGTAACGTTCATGTGCTTCTCCAGGTACCAGCGAGTATTAAACACCCTGGGGCACTTCTCACAGGTCAGAGTCTCTTTCTCTTCACACTTAGCTTTCTGGACTGGTGCTTTGGGCTCCTTTGTGGCCCGCTTCTTACGCTTAGGTGGCTCTACACTCTTCCTACGACCTCTGGTAGTTCTGGGAGTAGGGGAAGCGGCAGCTGCAGCAACAGAGGCAGCTCTCCTCGTCCTCCTTTGTGTAACGCTGACTTTCTCCACTATCTTCTCCTTTTTCTTCTGCCTTTCGTTCTCTCCATAGTCATTGCTGTCATCTGTGGCCTCTTCCTCACTCTCTTCCTCTTCCTCCTCACTGCTTGTCTTAAGAACAGGAGTCTCTTTGGACTGAGAAGAGACACCCTTTTCCCCTTTAGACACATTTAACGTTTGATTATTAAGGTTTACCTCCACTATGATCTGCTCCCTTTTGTAAGAGACCTCTTCGTCGTCCTCCTCTTCTGTGTCATCAGAGTTCTCCCGGTCGCCTTTAACAGCATGCACCTCAGACACTGCCCTTGTCTCCCTGAAATACGGCTGTTCCTCTGTCTCGTGGAGATGCGGTTTGCTCATCTTGCTGTCCACTAACACAGAATAAGGACTTCCCGATTCCCTTTTGTACACTTTGGTGGACAGGTCAAGTTCCTGGTTGGCACCATGATAAAAGGTAGATGGCACTTGACCACGACGGCTATCTTCTTGTGCCATCCCTGCTACATGCGCAGCACAGTTTTCAACCAGCTCCTGACAAGAGCTGGCTGTGTGGCTCATTGGTAAGTGGCCCAATTTATTAAGCGGTGCAGGCTCTAGAGAAATAGCTTTAAAACAGGGTAATTATTAAGACTCAAATATTTTTCCATCCACAAAAAATCACTCAAATGAAAAAAAGGTATTCCTGGAAGCTGTGTGCAATTCTTCCAGTGTTGCAGCACCAAAGCATAAGTCAAAAGGTTTGGTATTACGGCAAGAGCAGAGCACTAGTGATTTTTCTTTTGAAGAAAGCTGCAAGTGACTTGGAGCATCTTACCTACAAAGAAAAACAAAGAGGACGAAAGATCAGATATCACTGTTTCCTTCTTACAGCATGCACTTACATCATACAACAAACATAGCTTAACGTGATTAAACTCTTCATATATGCAATTCTTTAAATGGTTCAGTGGGCCATTATGTTACTGAGTTACATGAATTCAACGAACATTTGTTAGAATGTAAACTCTAAAACAGCAGGAGTCATCATCTGTCCAGTTCACTGAGATAGCCCATAGAGCTCAGCACAGTGCCTAGCACTTAGAGGTGTTTGGTATGTATGTGATGACTATACAAATATCTACTACTGCGTAGCATTCATTATCCTAGATGCTATGGGACATACTGATATGGCAGAATATACGCTCTTTATCCACGAGGAGTTTACAGACTAGTTGTAGAACATGTGTTGTCCGCGACACACTCAAGAGCTTTATGCTGGCTGGCTTTCTTTTCAACATCAGTCACCACCATCCACCACAGTGAGAGCTCACAGAACAAAGGGTAGGGAGCTAGGCACTGTGAACTAGGAAAACAAAGCTGCTAATTGACACAACTACAGAAAAGAGAGAAAATGTCCCTAGCCTTAAATAATTTAGACGATATTATTATAGATCTTATTGTTTTCAGGTTTACTAAACTAATTTCAAAGTTGCCAAGTATTTTAAAATTTGTTCTATGCATAGCTCACTAGATCCACTCAATAACCGGGTGATTTTTCATGTGTCAGTTGCACAGAAGTCTAAATTCTAAGAAACAGAAACCATCAGGTTGATATGGTTCCAAGAAAAATAAAACCATCCATTAGAAAGAAAGATTAGAAGGGCACATAATTTGCTCTGTGACATAGCTCACACTGCTGCTTAGTCAACCACCTAATCTCTGAGTCATACAAATATTGAAGCGAGCACACACGGGGCCTAGCTGACAAGGGAATGAGACGAGCACTTACCGAAGGCCTGTTATGTGCACAGGCCCTGCAAAAGTGCTTTTTATCTATTATTTCTATTTAAAACCCTCCGCAAAACTTTGGGGTTGATTTTTAAACTCATTTTAAATTTTTTATCAAAGTGATTACTTGGGGGGGAAAAAAAGCATACGCAGTTTTCAAGTCAAATGTACTGGCAGGTTTATAACAAACTTCTGCCTGCTCCATCCCACCTAAGTCCCACGCCAGAGACAAAAACATTCAACTATTTTAGCTGTCCCCCATCCCCTTCCCCCAGTATTTGCATATTTCTAAATAATGTGATGTTTCTTTTTTTTCAATTTTAGATATCACCACTTGTCTCCCACTATAGTTTTCTCACCTTATTGTTCCCAACTCCCCCTTCATTCTCCCAATATAGTTGTTTCACAACTTTTTGCTGTATTTATTGCTTAATTATGACTGTAATTTGTAGTTCCCAACTATTTCTATCATTCCCTTGCCACTGTTTTCTCTTCCATTTTCTTTGTCCTTATGTATTTATTCTTTTAAAAAAACTATTTTGCTTTTATTTCAGTGGGATTTCAGAGAGGAGTGGTGATAAATGCCCCCATGTTTTACTTGACATCTGAATAGATACATTTATACTTTTTTGGATTTATAAATGAGAAAATTATGCCTCTAAGAGGTGAAATAATTTGTCTGAGACCATATATCTATGTCTGACCCCGGGTCTGCCTGACTCCAATGCTCATGATCTTTCTATTTCTGCTGTGACAAATGACACTCCAAAATCATTTAAACTCAATTACTCCTGGTACTACACATCTTTTTTCATCAAATAGTCTCATACCTCATATTTTAAGTAGGGAAATCCTAGTAACTTTATTTTGCATGTGCCAAAACTTCTGACCCATGGCAATAATGTAAACTACTACAGGTACCATTAAATAAACTTACTCACATTAATTATCTCAAATTAAGCAAGGGAAGAGAGACAGTAAAATTCAATTAACCAGCAAAAGCTGGGAATTAAAAATCAGGAAGACGAGAAAAATAAATGAAGGGCAATCCTCTGTGGCAGTCACTACAGGCTCCTTCCAGCTGCTTCTGGCCCTTGGCCTTCTGGGCATGCAGTGGGACTGCACTTTCTAACCCTGTCCCCTCCCCGACAGCTGGGTGGGGCCACGTGACTACTTCTGGCCTGTGCATCATGAGTAGAAGCAGAAGGCCAGGGCATTTTCTAACCCATACGAGACCCCCCCAGATCTCTTTTCCCTCTGCCACAGGGACCAGCAATCTTCGAGGTGATGGCTGCTATCACTGCTATCCCTGGGTGACTAAAATGACCTACAGGATATCAACAGCGCAGTGGATTTTTTTTAAAAAAAATTCTCTTCTATTAATTCTACAGAGTGTGTTTTTAAAGCCACTGAGATCTTGTGTTGCTTGCTACTGCAGCATAATCTGGCCTATCCTAGCTGATACAGGTAGAGTCCAGAAGTGGGGTGCTGCCTCATCAAAAAACCTAAAATATATGACAAAGGCTTAGGAGCTGGGTGGAAGGAGGAAGGAAACAGTTATCGGAGGCTAAAAGGACAGCAACTTATACTATGCAGTGGTGAAATTATTGGTGAAACTATCAGCTACTTATCTCAGAAGGTAGATAATATGCCACGAGAACTTACAGCTCTAGTGGGAAAATGGGCTATTAAGAGAGGGTGTTGGCTACTGTTGGCTGTATTAGACAAATTATTACATGAAATAGATGACTTCAGAAAAGAATTGATCAGTTTACAATCAGGAATAAAGGGAGTCCAGAAAAGTCAGCAATTTGTAGGGGTAGAAGAAGCACGTACCTAACATGAAACTAAGAAGGTCTTTGAGCTACAAATGCTGATCAGAATTCAGTCTTGAGGCAAGGATCACGTCAAAGATTTGGCCTTCACAACCATTGATAAAACCTCCCAATTGATTAAGGTGGTGCCAATAAAAAAGCTGGACTAAAATGAGGCTCTCTTACCAGAGCGGTGTCTCAGTCTACTTTGCTACAAAGTGTATTTCTCTCACGTGAATTAGTTCAAATGCTGGTAGTAAACAGGGAAACGACATCTGTATGCAAAACAAAAAGTCATGTTGGTTTGTACGAGATTCTCCCCTGCAAGGTAATGTTTGAAGTGACCAGGAGAAGGCTTTCTCACAATTAAAAACAAAAGCTTAGCAATATATGAAGACCTTAAGAAAAAAGCTGAACAGCCTACTTCCGTACCTTCCTTCAATGCAAGTAGTGGCCGGCTCAGCTGCTTCATGAGCCATTACGCACACTTTCCACTTTCTGTCTGGTGAAGCTGAGGGTATATGTTTCCCTTCCTGTGTTTAAAAATGAAAGCTTTTAATCGCTGAGGCCCACATCGTACCATACATCAAATTTTTTATTGTAATGAAACTGGTCTGTACTGTAAGCAAATGTCTTCAAGACCCCAATCTCAGAGCAGGAAACCACCACCCAGGGGATTATGTCTGCAGAGGTTCAACGGACTGATGCTGGGTGCATATGCAGGTGGAGGCTTAATATGCTATTTTTATTATAATTATTGTTGTTTTTATCGGTGCACTGGTTACAGCGTTACACAGATTTTAAGTGGTCTGTCCCAACCCCATTTTTCCCATAAGCCTGTTTACTTTAGTGTACAATTCTGCAGAATTCAGGAAAGCATACACGACATTATAGCAGAAATACCTGTACTCAAAATTAAGTCAAGGAAGAAGTATGGGACGAATAAGACAGAGCTATACAGCAAATCTAAGACGTACGTTTAGAGAAGAACTGTGGATGTGGTTAGGGCACATGGAGCTGACTGGAAACAAATAAATAGAAAACCAACTAAGATTTTGAGAGTTGTACTGCCAAGAGAACCACCAGCCTGGGCTACAGAGGCTGTGACCATTCAAGACTTAAAATGGCCTTTGGGTGCCCAAGCATCTATGGCAAGAAGTGGGCTAAGGAAGCTGTTTACCCCCCTAAAGAGGCATATTCCTCATTGTCCACTTCAGATACAGCCAAGGAACATAACAGGACAAAAAAGGAGGAGAAGGTCCAAGAGGATGAAGCTCGGGAGCAAAGAAAAAACAGACAGGGAGTTAATCTCTAAGAAGCCCAGTCAGGATCTATTCGAGACCATTCTTGTGGCCGTCTCAAGGAGCGCTCAGAGGGATTTCAAAACCTGTTGCGGTCCATTGACTGTCATACGTCTCCTATTCGTCCTCCCTTCAAATGGGGATGTTTAGGTTTATTATCCTGTCACTACGCACGATTGTACGGTGTACGTGGGGCCAACAGATCATCTGCCAATTTCTTTCATAGGTCTCTGGATCAAGAAGAGCAACATGTGCACCCGGTGCAGAGTCTACTATGCATCATCTCATGAAGAGACCACCAACCATCACCTTTGCATCCCCCAGAGATCCTGGACTTGGACCTTGATGTCATGATCAGATAGGACCTTGGAGTTCCCTACCTTGGGGAGGAAGTGAGTGCATTTTGCCTGTGAGAGAGTAGACTGACTATCTGATGACCAAAACAGGTGCTGTTTATCAAGTATTTTCAGCTCTCTGTCTCCCTGGTACAGGCAATGCTGTGTGTCCTGACCTCCCGTAGTTACTTGAGATTTTGTGACTAGTTCTGGCCAGGATGTTGTGAAATAAGCAGTATGAGTCACTTCTTTCTGAGCCATGGAATTTAATGCTAATGAGAGACCCTCTGGACCTCTTCTACCTCTTAGCATGGTGATCATACTGTACAAGAAGAGCGGTT